AAGACCGTGGCTTGGAGGACTGACAACTGATGGCTGATTGGGCTGCTCAGTCAGCCTTGTGTGTGTGTGTTTGTGTAGAGTGGCCGACTGAAAGTTAGGCTGTAATGGCTCCTTCTCGGCGTGGCCCTTGTGACACTCCCACTCAGCTGGGATCGGAACCAGGTGTGGCGGTACATTTAGGGGGTGGCATCGGTCGCGCTGTCCATCGGTGCCCTTTCCCATCTCCAGTCTTTTACACTTGGTCATGAAATCAGGTGTGAACGGGGTGGGGGAGGAGAGAGTGCGATTGACGCAACCCAAATCTATTCCCACTATAATCTAATTCATGCGCAAATCACCACAATTGCTTCCAGTCAGCAGTGAAGCGCGCGGTAGAAATCGTCGAAACAGCCGGACAAACTGTCGAATAAGCAGTTGTGGTTTAAGAAGATGCGATGCTCAGTGTTTTCGATAAAAATCTAACATGGACAGGCGAATCAATCGGATGAGTGGTAGGCGTTGTATAAAGTATCGGTCTTGCATTGCCGAACTGCGGTCGTTTCGTCCCGAAAATATAACAAAAACCCAGCAGAGGGCAATAATTATTGTTGGAAAATGACAATTTCAGGATGTTTCACCCGGTGAGTGTTCCTCCAAAGAAAAAAAGAAAACATCCGTCTACTCATATCAATCTTTAAATAGACTGGGGAAATTAGTGAGGAAATTAAAAAGCATCAATTTATGAAATGGACTATCAACCAGAAAGCACACAGTGAATGCTGGGGGGGGCCCTCTGGTGAATCGGACTTCTCGCAGTTGTGTCAAGCATCGGCAGAATACCGGCGAAACCCGTGTCTGGGGTTTTGGCTAGTATCTGTGCTGGCGATATGCTGTCACCCGTAATCCCCTATAAAACCCAATCTGTTAGTTTTACCGCCGAGTCAGCTAACTAGACTTCCCTTTGGAATTGACAAGTAAAAGTGCTGCTGTCAATCTAATCGTTTAAATTTTTAAAGAATTTCCTATTAAATACCGACGCCGAATAATGAAGTATTTTGCTCTTGAACGGGTTAACGGTTGTCGATACCTGGTTGGAATCTGAATTTCACACAAGTTATTGTAACGCCCTTACAAGTGTGTTCCTATCGTTAATAATGTAACGAAGCATGACAGTGACTTACGGAAACATTTTAACTCCCGAAACTTGATGTCCAGAGACCTCAGAGAAGACGTGCACCAGTTCAGTTTCAGTAATATCTTCAGGTAGGCCGGAGACGTGCAGGACGGTATTGGGTCCGTATATGTTGAAAGCGTTTCGTGAATTGGCGTTCCTGAAACGATGTAGTCGACTGCCCGCGTAATCCCGGGTGAGATCTTGACTGGGGTCGGTCGATTCAGCTGCATGACCATCTTCACCTGACTGAGAATTCTGTGACCTGTTGATGCTTGGAAACTTGGAGTGACTCACGCGGAGAGAGCCGCCAAAGAGAGGCAACCCATTAAGGTAGAAAATAGCTGCAAGAAATTGAAAAATATGCAAGATTAGAGTATCATTTCGACAGTGAAAAGATGCATACTTTAAGAAAATATGGTTTAAAGTTGTGGATTGCGGTGACTAGTTCCATACGAAGTGCACTTGTGAATGTCTGTTGTGACCAGCTTAATTCGAAGTGCACCTTGGGAACGCTCGCTGCCTCCGGCTTCTGGAACAGCCAGTCACAGGCCGACTCACACAGGACCTCGTGTGACGACTGCCGAGCAGACCTGACATCAGACACCGTCCGCCAGCTTGCCGTTGTGCGGACGTCTTACAGCCAATTTCCTCTTGCCTACTTTCCACTTCCTTTTGTACAGAATATAATCTTCCTACCACTCTGGCCTCCCATGACTTCTCTCTTCTCTTAAGGAACCGAGACTGAAGATCGCAGTTGTCAGGGTTTAACTCATTTAACCCTGCGATAGGATGTCATCCTCAAGCGTCATTCAAGGAAATTTTCACAGGAAAAGGGGCCTGTAAGCATAAGTAGAAAATAAGCTGCTCAATTGAGCCGGTGAAAATGAATATGGCTGAGGTAAGGGTATGCAGAAGAGGTAAACCATCAAATAAGCACGAAACCCTATGAATCAGGCTTGGTGAGATAAGAAGGAAGAAACATTCCCAGAGAAGGGGGGAGGTTAAGAAAAATCACGTACCTCGATCAGCCTGAAGTGCGTCAGTAAATTGAACAAGGGCAGTGTTCTTTTTGTTGTAGAGAATTTTTACGCGCTGCACATCTCCATAAACACCTGGGAGGGGGTAAAATAAAAGGTATCAGAGATAGCGCACCGGAAATTGTATTAGAGGTTCAAAGCAGGCACGAAAAGTGCTGGCGAGAATGTCCTGAACAGAACTGTTGAGGCGAGCAAATGACTCTACGCCGTAAGAAAAAAAACAAGATCTGTCTTACAATCCCACGGAAGGGACGCTACCAAATAATGTTGTTGAGTTATGTATGGGAGACAGGTATTGCAGAAACTTGGTTCATGGGGCTGATAAAAAAGTCGCAATGACAAGCGCCAAAGCTGTTGCATATGAAACAGGCCCACACGAGTAATTATTTCTAATTACAAAGACAGTTCAGAATGCCGATTAACATTTCACGAGCTGCGCCAGCTACTGTCATTAGACCCATTAGGAAGGTCTATTTGAACCTAACAGACCTCAGGCCTAAAATTGTGTAGGTTTAGCGACGGTGTGGTTCCACGAAGCGGGTCTTTGGTCGGGCAGTTAGGGGCATAGGCAAACTACATTAGTACTACACCTGCATCATAATATAGTCGGCACAACGCGGCCTGGTAAGGCGTCTCTGTGGCTTTTAAATTGTCCAGTTAACAGTCTTAAAGGCAAAGTACCAACAGAAAGTAAACCGGGAAATTATATAATGCATGTCGCTTTTAAAGACAAGTTCGCGGTCCTACAGGAAGTGGGGTTGATTGCAAGCATTTAATAATCAGCATAAGCGTCAAGAAGTGAGGGGCAAATGTGCGATTCAGACAACTCAATAAAATCACTGCTGAGTTAGCCGGCTCCAGTTTCCTGTCGCAAACGGTCACAGGGATATGTGGGCTAAACAGCACAGGAGAGGTCCGCGGTACCAAGTGGCTTATCCGTGAGAACCTGATCAGTAGTATGAAAGAGGTGGAGGATGTATAGCTGGGGGTGAGGGCGGCAGCAGTATTCGACATCTCACAATACCGTTCTGATCCATGACCTTAAAGATGAATTATTTGACAGACCGGTAGCCAGCCATGACTAAAAGCAGTACTACCGAACAGTTTGGGAGTGCTTATTTGCCAACTCCCCTACCCCTAAAGAAAACACTTATTTTATAGCAAGCCTTCGAGGAATACCCAGGGAGGACGCGTGAAGGACGTAAGGAGCCGCCGACAGCCTAGAGCTCTCTTCTCTCGGTAGAGGGCTTCTTAGTTCGAGCGTACAGTCAGTGTTAGGACAAAGCAATAAAGGTAGAATCAGAAGAGACGATGAGGAGATGGAGACAGGACATGTATATATATACCAAAGAGAGTGAATAGGATGTCAGGTGTGGTACGCTGGAGGATGGAAGGAGACAGAAGTCCGCGTCAGGAAGGTAGTTTTCCGTTGTTGGTTGCAGAACCCAGTAGGATAGTAGGGAGAGAGAGAGGGAGTATGTAGGTAGGTAGTGAAGACAGAGGTTTCAGTTTCCGAGGCGTTTTCGTCCAGCAGATAAGGAGAAGCAGAGAGGATAGAGAGAGGGAGAGAGCGAGGGCACTTTAGAAAATAAGCAGTTTGG